GAGTGAAGACCACTTCCGGCTGCAACGGGCCCCTCCACTTTTTTGATGGGCCCTCTCGCGTTCTCTTTTTGTCTAGTCAAACTACTAGAATAGCGCAAATGATGTGTCGTATGCCTTGGGAATTCTAACGCGCGCATCATAACACACAAATGTAGGAGTGCTGAATTGTGTAAGTCGTTTTATTTAATTTTTCCAAGTGTTTCTCGCATGTGTTTGAAGGATCTCAATTTTAAAAGTGTGATTCACATGATTAAAAGGCCAATAAATAATCACGCGACATTTTAGGATTTTAAAAATGGGTCTCACTTCATCAAAAACCTAGCTTATTTTAATACTCGTATTAGAAGGAGCACTTAGAGTGTGTTTGGCTCGAACGGAAAAGAATGGAAATGAAGCTTTCACTTCTGACAAATCCTGAGAAAGTGGCTCCTTTCCCCCAAACTATTTTCATACCCTGATATTTGTCTTTCCTGATTCCTTAAAACCCCAGAAAGCAGCATGATTTTGGGAAACCACCCCCTACCCCACCCCCACCTACCTTGAGCAAAAAAGGATTGAAGATGCACTTTAGGGCATTAAAATAAGGAGACATGTATGACTATAAAAACTTTTTGCCAACATACCTCTAACAGAAGGCAATCTTAGGATGGGCAAATTTTTAAAATGGAGGAATTTTCAAAACCAACCTCTTTACACTTTTATTTGCAAAAAACGACCCGTTTCAAAAAAAATTTCAAAAACCGACCTGGTTTCAGCCATGGCGCTGAAACCAGGTCAGTTTTTGAAAATTTTTATCCGAAACTTCACGGGAACGGGAGTTCAAATCCCGTGAAGTTTAATTTCTTAAATAAACTTCATGGGAGTTGAACTCCCGTGAAGTTTTTTACGTTGAACAAACTTCACGGGAGTTCAACTCTTGTGAAGTCTGTTGGGAGAGCAAAAACTCCACGGGAGTTGAACTCTCGTGAAGTTACAGGCTCATTCCAGAAACTTGAAAAGAGCTGGAATTATGACTGTGCGCACAATTCTACATTGATTCAAGTTTATATTTTCCTGTTAATAATAATTGATCTCATATACAATGAATTACAACAATATGAATCAATAATTCAACCGAAATGGAGCACGAGTTAAACAATACTCACAAAGAGCTTGTTAACAATAATTGAGCTCATATACAATGAATCTCAACACTATATACATAATTCAACCAAAATGCAAAATGGAGCACGAATCGAACAATACTCACAAATAGTACATATATAAGCAATATCAAATCCACAAAAGTATAGTATTTGAAAATTAATAAAAGTTAGAAAATTTAATGAAATAAGTTCAGATACAACCCAAAATAGCTCCTCTCCTTCCTCTCCTTCCTCTCCCTCTCTTCCCCATCCCCCTCGCTCTTCCCCTCCCCGAGTATTCGACTGTGTATGAGGCTGAGAAGCACTGACTCCATCAGCATACGAAGTGCTGGCTCCATCAGCATGCGAAGTGTCGGCTCTATCATCACGTGGACGTCGTCATCGTGTGTACTCTCTCCCAAATGATCGAGACCGGTCCTCACGGCCTGCAAACTCGTCGACGTGAGTCTTATGGAACACCTGTGCTATTGTATTCTTGATCCCGCTGAAGACCCCTAATGCCACTGAATCCTGAATCTCGGGCATATGCGCATCAATATCAGCTTCAATGCTATCTAAAGCACGGACCTGCGAGATAAATAATTTATTAAGTACCATCTCAATAAAAAATGTTATAATTTAGCTTAGAAACATACATAGTCTCTCTCAATCATCCTACTAGGGATGTAACTGTCTGTCGGTGGTCGTGGCATGCGTCCAGCTGATGGCTGTGAGTCACGTGTGATCCACCTACGTGTGATATCCCAATACCAGCGCATATACGCGATAAAGTCAACACCATTGGCTCTCGTCTCCTATATGAAATCCCACCGTTGAGTCCACCTGTCTATGTACGCCGCACGGACTACGGCCTAGTCGGTACGGTGCGAAGTAGGTCGGTGCCGACGATCGATCGCCTTGACAGGCTCTGGCAGATGCTGATCCATCAGAAATTACCATAGTACACGGTCAGGAACATGCATCTCCACGATCTCCCAACAGATTAATGGAACTCTTGCTCTCCACAAGTTGGGTGAGTCCAGGCAGATAGGTGCAAGTGTATGCATGTCGAGCACCGGCGGTGAATAAGGTGTCCATCTGAACTGAAATAAGGTAAAACATTTATCAGTATCAACAACAAAACTATAATATTCGTAATGAATTGAGTTTTATATTTACCTGTTCGTGTTGGAGGCCATCAAGCTCATTTCGGTAAAACGCCCGGTGTCGCGTTGCGCATTTGTAGTTAGCATACCGCATGTTATACCTATTTGGCATAAAGAATATATCAGTTCAAATTCAGTTGAATAAAAATGTGTGGACAATTATACATGTATGCTAGTGGAAACTGTCCTTGTAAGTCGCGGTGCACAAGTAAAGTCGGTCTGTCAACATGAATGCGCTCCCATGATCAAATCTGGATCAAAGTGCAGCATCCCTTGAATTCTTTATTCTGCATTAAGGATACTCTACCCAGTTCTCTATACAAGTATGCCAACACCGTATTTCCCCACGATCGTGCACCGCATACACCAAAATCCTCAATTAGTGGCAGGCATCGTGCATGTACAAGAGTCTTGCTCGCATCAGGAAATAGCATGCACCCTATCATGTGCAATATATACGCATGAGCATGAAACTGAAGCGTCTCAATGGAGGCATCTGCTGGTATATCTCCCTAAAACGTCTGACGAAGCCACGATAGCTTCATCGTACCACTCCGCAAGTCGGGTACCTGACCAAGAAGCCTAACACATACATCAGACCAATTATGGTCATCAGTGCTCGTAACTATCGGACCATCCATGCGGAGCCCAAGTATGACGGCTAAGTCCTGTAAGGTGATAATACACTCCCCTATATGCATGTGAAAGGTGTTGGTCTCTGACCTCCAACTCTCAATCAGTGCAGTGATAAGCGGCCAATTAAGCCTAATATATCGCACTGTCGAACACTCCCGGAACCCGGCTTGAGCAATAAGCTGTAGTACTCTCTCATCCTTAATGACCCAAGCTGAATGACTCTGAGAATGTTCGACCATGGTGATGTCTGGTACGGGCTGCACGTCAAATAGAATTGATTAAGTATATTGAGAAAAATTAAAATTAGTGTCAATGCTAAGGAATATATACAAAAGATGTTTTACCTGTCCTGAGCCAATATGGTCTGAACA